CAATATATAAAAAAGTTGAATTTTTTAAAAGGCACAACCTTAACTGTTTTTTTTTTAAACTGACAAGAAAAACTTGGCTTTGAAAAAAAAAAGTTTATAATTTTGAAGTTATTTAAGTGATGAAGTTTCCAAATGTGATCTATGAATTTATTGAGTAAAATTGGAGGTAGGTTGAATATAAATTTAAATATATTTTTAATTTATTTAAATATGGTTTATTTTTAGTATTTATAAAATAGATTAATTTTAAATTTTTAACTTTTCTAGCAGTCTATTTTTAATCTTTGTTATTAATTATGTTAAAAATGAAAAAATATTAATTAGTATACTTAAACTAATGTATATTGATATAATTGTTTTTGTATATCAATTATATGAAAATAACCATGGTTAAGTAATTAATAATAATAAAGCAATAAATTTAAAAATTAGATTAAAAATAAAGTTTTATAAAATAAAATTATAATAATTTGATTAAATTTTTTTAATTAATTAAATTAATGAGGAATTAAAATGTGATAATTTGATGTGTTTAATTTTTTTAATATAAATTTTTAAAATATAATTTAATTTCAATTGAAATTTTCAATTGAAAAATAAATTAAAGAATATTTGTTATTAAATTTTTCTTAAACAATGTATTGAATAGTTAATATTACTCTAGTCTTAATTTATTACAATTTAAATTTTTAATAAATTTGATTTATTTTTAATAATATTTTTATTTTAGTAATTTAAAATTAAAGTTAATCTTCATTTTGTTAATATTGAGACCAAAGTTTATTTTTAAAGTATATTTTAAAAATTAAATTATTTTTAAAAAATAAATTACTTTTAAAAAATAAATTGTAAAAAATATACTAAAACAATTAAAGTATATTTATAAAAAAATAAATTTAAATATAATAAAAAAATAATCTTCATTAGCGATCGATTTCAATTCGATCGCTATTTTCTAATTAGCTGATCGATTTTAATTCGAGTCACTATTTCAATTTGTAATTCGATCGCTAAATCAGTTGTTAAATGATTTTTTTATTTTAGTGTGGAATAGCCACCGATTTAGCGACCGAAATTTTGCGACGCAAACTATTAATCGTTATTTCGGTCGCTAACTAAAAAATGTGAAGTCAAATTATATTTCGGTGGCTAAATCGGTCGCTAAATTGTGACCGAATTAATTCGGTTGCTAAATTGTGACCGAAATAATTCGGTCGCTAAATCGGTTGCTAATAGCGACCGAATTAAATCGGTCGCTAATTGTGACCGAATTAAATCGGTCGCTAATTACGACAAAAAAATTTCGGTCGCTAATTTCGGTCACTAAATGTTTTTTTTTTCTTGTAGTGATTAACAGTGATACGCACATTTTCCTTACCAACCTTCCTCCACCACATATGAGTTTCTACCCTCCTCTGTCAACATTCATCAGCAAAATCCCTCCCTCACTTCAACCCTTTTTTCCTCGTTGACAAAATTTCTATTATAGAAACCCCAAATTGAAAATCTCCCTTTCTTCTCTGTGTCAAACTCAATCGGGAACCCCTTATTTTCTTTTTTTTCCTTTTCATTCGACTACCTGTGAACCCAACAACCTTTCTTCGTCTCATTTAATTGATTTGATAGTTAATGTGTATTCTATTAAAAATTATTGTACCTTTTTTTATTATTTGATAATTAATGGTTATTCTATTGAAAATTATGATGAGAAGGTTAGTTTCTTAACTCACCTACGATCAACTTGTTATCATTTATCTTATTATTATTATTATTATTATTATTATTATTTTCTTTTTTTATTTAAAATCAATAAATAAATGAATAATATTTTATTTTAATTATAATTAAACTTTTGGTATTATTATATTCTAGATTCTTTTTTAATTAAAACTAATAAATTTATAAAGTTATTTATTTCAAATATAATTATAATTTTGATTTAGTTATTGTAAGATTAAAATTTTATACTTACTTCAAATATATTTTTAATTTGATTATTATAAAAATTATTTTAAAATTTTTAAAATTTTAGTACAATAAATTTGAAAGGGTGTTAGTTTTAGTAATAATTATTTAGATACACTTCTAAACTAATTATTACTTCAAATTATATAAAATTAACCTAAATTAATTATTACTTAAAATTAAATAAAAAATAATTATTTTAAATGTACTTTAATTACCATAAACTTATAATAATCCCTTCAAATATATTTTTGATTTGATTATAATAAAATACTTATTTTAAAGTATTTTAAATCCATAAATAAATAATAAATTTAATAATTAAAAATATCTAAATATTATCACTTTTAATTTAATTATTACTTAAATTATAAAAATAATAATCACTTTAGATATATTTTTAATTTGATTATTACATAATTATTCTAAGTATATCTTTAATTTAGTAACACAAATAGATAAATTAAAATAAATTATTTACAAATATATTTCTTTATATAAAAAAACTAAGTTAATGTAATTCTCCATTGTATATGGGATACATAAGAGTAGAGAAATAACCTTTATTAAGCCAAAAATATAAAAAATATATAATATTTTATTTTTAGTAGCAACATTTAATAAATATATAATTTAGAGGGATAAAATAAATAATTTTAAGATATTTAATTTTTCATATCTAATTAAAAGTAATTGTTTGTTTAAAACGAATATTATAGAGTGTTAATACCTTCTATATATAATTGAATCTCGTATCAAATTTTTACTTCGAAAATCACTCTTTTATTTATTTATTTTTATATATTTTCCTTAAAATAAATATTGGTGGCAATTCCAGAATTTTATTTAGTTTAGTAACATACTTTTATCGTATAGCGATTTTGGTTGCTGAAAGGTTATTAAAATCTCAGTTAATAAAATAAAATATTTTGATAGTACTATATGATAAGTGTTGATTACTTGATTTTTCCTCTCTTTTTTTTTCTCTTTCAATTCTACTACTATTACTTGTAATATATTTTTTATATATTTCTATGGTCCAATTGGTTGATTCTTAATCTTAAATTATTTTAAGACTACCTCTTGAGAGATCATGTTGTTATGATTTGATTTTGGTTTATAAACTTTGTTTGATAGATCCTAAATCATAAACTGATTTTACAGGTCTCATTCACTCCTACTCTAATTATGTTTAAAATTAAACCTACTCATCAATTAAAACCTAAGTTTCTTTTCTTAATCTCTCCATAAGCCTTTATGAAGATATAAAACAATCATTAAATAGTTCACATAAATAAAAACAATTCAAGAGAATTCAAGAAACAGAATTAAAAAAGCTAAATCAATTTAAATCAACAATTATCAAGACTAAATTCAAATTCTAAAGTAAAAAATTACTCTTAGCATAAAATAATCTTAAAAGAAAATATTAGAAGGAAAATGAAAGCTCACAACGAAAGAACGTTGAGAAAAATTATGAATCTTGCCAAGTCTTTCGTATTTTGATGTTCATAATACCTAATCTATCATATAAACTACCTATTTAAAGCTTTAAGCACAAGAAATTATGTTCATTGAATTTAAACATAATAAAAAAATATTACTAGAAACATGAATGAATATGCTGATTATGTGTACAATTGTGCTTATTTTAACCCCGTTATAATATTTACAAACAAGGAGGTAAATAATGAATGATGATTTACTAGTCAAAGTAAAAAAATCCATTTTTTTTAGTTATGAAACTTTCCCTTTTTTTTTTTTTTACCAATGCATATATAATCACTAAAAAATAAAGATTTCTCTACCTTGGTAAAGTTTGAGGTAGCCATCAAGTTTAATCACCACAAGACATTTTCCAATTAGTTAGGAAAATTTGCTACAAATTTTATTTTTTACTAATTTGTAGCTAATTAGCTATAGAATAGTAAAGGAATTAAGTTATAGTTAATCTGTAGTAAAATAGCTAGAAAATAATATTTTTGTAGTTATTTCCTCACTTAATAGAAAAATAATTTAGTAAGGGAAAATTTTTCTCACTAATCCCTAGCTATAAATATTAACTATGTTATTTTTTAAAACTATTTCTTAGCTAAATTATATAACATATAATCATAGTTAAATTGTAACAAATTTATAGCAAAAAAATAATTATAAAATTATTTAAAAATTATTTTTACCAAATTTATTATAAATATATTAATTATATATATAAATTATTTGAAAATAATTATAATTTTTTGAAAAAATATCTAAAAAAATTGATAAATATTTAAAATTATTTTTTGTAAATTTTTTATAAATTTAAATTTGTAGAAAGTATTTAATAATTTAAATTAATAGAAAAATTTATAAATAATTTTTTTATAACTTTTTTAAGAAATTAGTCTTTATACAAAAATTATTATATTAAAATATTTATTTAATTAAATATTATTTTAAATATAAACATCTTTAATATAATAATAAAAATATTTTTTTTAAATTATAAAAATTTTATATATTTTTTAATAAAAATATTAAATTAATCTCTTTTTTTCCCAAAATTTCCTTCCTCTTTTTACTTACGTCTCATTCTTTCACTTTCAACAGACCTAGACTGCGTTTGTTACCGCTGTTGCTGCCACCGCTCTTGTTGTCGCTGCTCCCGCTGTCGCCGCTCCTGCTACCGCACTGCTGTCGTGTCGTTGCCGCTGCCCTACCGCGTCGCTGCCGGTACATATGTGTTTTATGAAATCTTATGTATTTTATGCAAACTTCAATTTGTGTTTTGATTTGTTAGTGACTTTCCATGGTAAAAGAACAGTTAATCTTCCGATTCTATTTAGTAATTTCCAACTTCTGAGTGTGTTCCCTATTGTCCAGCTATTAGGTTTCATGTAACCTAGCAACAACGATAGGGTTTATTTGTTCCCTGGGTGTTTTTTTTTTATTTGATTTACTATGTACCTCTCTTACGGTGGGTTACTCTGTAATTATCATGGTTAATTAAATTTATTTAATCCAATTTTAATTTTTCAATTACAATTCACAAGCAGAGGGGTTTGCTTAGTGGAATTTCCTCTGCGTCTTTCTTTTTGATAAAATTCAGCATATTTTATAATGGTAATTTCCTCTGTGAATTTGTTCTTGCTCGCATACCTATAATTGAGAACCAGAGGTAAGTCATTGGGTCATATTAGCACATCGCATACTGTGTTTTATCTCTATGGTTGACCGGTTCTTTTTCTCGTTCTCTGAGGTTCTTTTATCCTATTCTTTGGTAGTCTTGACTAATTTATTTTTGAAGTAAAAATATAACAAGTTTTTGAATTTAATATTAGACTATAATTTCACTATTTTCTTCCATTTAGCACCCAAAGTTTTTTTCCTTAATGTGTATTCTTTTTATTATATTGAATGTTGGATGTTCCTTCATTTTATTTTCTTACATTCATACCTATGTTGTGTTATTTTCATTTGCAGAGCTTTTGTTGCCCCAGCAGATATTCAGTCATTCACCAGTGAGGCTAAAAATAAGTTATCTACTCGTCTTCAAGGAAAGACTAGGTACTTTGCCCAAGCTGTGAAGGAAATATGTGCAACATTTAAAGAGATGCAGAAATAGAAGGCTAGTGGTTTGACAGATGACACGGATGATTCTCGTATTGGTTCAGAGTCTCCATCTAATGATGAGGTAGTAGGTAACCATAAGGATGAAATTGACACTGTGTTATCAAATGCAGAAAAAAGATAACATTGATATGAATAATGTTGGTTCTAATCTGGAGCACTATACTCAGGGAGTAGGGGAAAAAGACAGCGCAGATGAAAAGCACTTTGTGCCTGTCCATCCAAATGAAAGTTCATTGGTTTCATCTCCGGTGATGAAAAGTAAATTATCCATGGGTTCAGAGCCAAAGAAGAATGCTAACAAATTGATTCTTAAAGGTGCTAGTAATTTTAATGATTTTAGGCAAGATGATAATGGACATATTATTTTAACAAATGGGACCAAGCCAAGAAAGCTTGTCAATGGCTTGCCAAATCATATTTGCCTAATGCCTCTTCCAAACTTGTGCAGTATATAAGACTTTGGGAAGTGCCATATCACATATTAAACTCTTTTGTGCGCATGAAACTATAAACAATCTCACTCTTTACTACCAGGTAAGTCATTACTCACCCTTCTAATTAAATTCTCTTAATATTAGTTGCTTTATGTATATGCTTTTTTATGTGTATATTTATAGATAACTATCCAATGCACTCTCAGTTTTTAGTTTTGAACATTGGTTTGAATGGCATTACTGTTTTTTTGGTGACTGTTTTCACATTCAATAATGGTTGAAGTGTGTGTGTTTTTTTTTTTTTTTTTTTTTTAATTTTCTATTTGGCTTTTGGTTGGAGTGAATCAGAGAGTGTTGGCCTCACCACACTAAAAGAGTTTTTGGAAAGATAGACATGAAGTGAAAGAGAATGTGTGGGTTGTGCATGAAGAGCACATCATCAGACTGCTTGAGATATAAAGGCATCTATCGAAAAAATGAGTTCTTAACAAAAGCTTTCAACGTAAGTCTTTCAGCCTGAAATCCTAGTTTTTGAGAACTTGTTTATTATCAACTTCAAACCCCCATTGATTAACGAGTATTCAATTATTTATTTTCATAAACTGTAATGACGAAAGAGGCATGCATTTTACTTATTAATAGTATAAGAAAGTTCTGAAGGCCTTCTCCCCCTCCTTTCCTTCATTTCTTGTTTTCTGTTCAAAGTTGGCTGCATATTCAAGTTGCATTCATTCTTACTATATTTGTTTTCTTTGTGTAGTCTCGCATCCAGAGTAAAATTTTGAAGAGGAAATTTCTTTCCAGTTCTTTAGTATCAAAAAGAATGGATGAAAATTTTTATGCCACTTGTAGAAGGGAATGTAGTATTTGCTTGTATTATTTACACTTGTCTGCTGTAGGGTGTTCATGTTCAAATGACAAGTTTACGTGTCTTGGTCATGCAAAACATTTTTGTTCTTGCCCTTGGAGCAACAAAATTCTCTTATACCGTTATAAGATCAATGATTTGAATGTTCTTTGTCAAGCTTTGGATGGGAAATTAAGTGCAGTCTATAAATGGGCCAAAGAGTATCTCGGACTAACACTGACCTCTGTTGCCTCCAAGAGATCAAAACCACATCCAGAAAATGTTAGTTGTTCAACCTTCCCTTTGCAAGACTTGCATATGAAAGAACCCTATATCCCAGACATCATCAAATGAATCCTCAAAAGGGAAACGACGCAAATTGCAGGAAATATTGAATTCATCGAAGAAAAATCACAATGAAGTAGTTTCAAGTTCTTCGAAAAAGAAACAAAATGAAGTGGTTCCAAACTCATCCAAGAAGAAACAAAATGAAGTGATTTCCCAGGTCCCGCAGACTTCTGGTGGCACTCACACTAATCATGACACTCATTCAAAAATGAAGATAAATTTGCTTCAGTCAAGCTTTGCAAATGGTAAGAAAGGAATCAATTCTGTTGGCACCAAAATTGATACGAAGACGGCTGGGCATGAGTTAAAAATTTCAAGGAAAGGAGATCCAAAATCATCAAAAGTTCCTTCTGTTACAATCACGTTACTTGTCTTTTCTTCAAGAACATGAGTTACTTGATGTTTCATATGATAGTATGAGCACATCTTCGTCATCAGATTCTGAAGTTACATGAGTAGTTGATGGCTAACTTTTCATAGTGGAAAAGATATATGTAGTCCTTTGTGGGTTTATCTTGTAGGATAACCATTTTTTCATGCAACAACAAATACAAGAAGAAATGCAGTCTTTCAAGAAAGATTTATTATCTGCCTTTAAAAAAAATGATGAAAACGTACTTCAAACTTTGTTTCTATTTTTAATTATGTTATACAAAACTTTTTAGTTGAAATATTATTTTTGTTATGTTTTAATTGTTTGAAACATTATTTTAACTATGTTTAAACAATATTTTTATATTGAAAGTTGATAAGTTTGTCTTCTTTTTTTAAGAATATGAGTAATAATTTAAATCTTAAATATTTGATATTATAAATTTTGATAAAAATTATGAGGGATTAGCTATGAAATAGCGAGAGAAACATTGCAAAAGATTAGCCACGGATTAACGAGAAAATAATTGTGAAGCATTAACCACATATTAGCTAGAGATAAATTGTCAGGGATTAGCTACAGATTAGCGAGAGAAAAATTGTGAGGGATTAGCTACGGATTAGTGAGAGAAATTGCGAGGGATTAGCTACGAATTAGCAAGAGTAAAATTGCGAGGGATTAGCTACGAATTAGCGAGAGAAAAATTGCGAGAGATTAGCTACGGATTAATGAGAGAAAAATTGTGAGGGATTAGCTACGGATTAGCGAGAGAAAAATTGCGAGAGATTAGCTACGGATTAGCTACAAGTTTTGGGAGATCAAATTAGCTAGAGATAAACAAAATTTCATCATTTAAATTAGCGAGGGATTTAGCGACAGTTTAGCGACAAAATTTGTTACAAGTTTGAGAGAGAATACATCTGTATCTAATTAGCTACTTGGATTTAGTTACGGACTATTCCATAGCTATTTCGTAGCTAATATGTAGCAAAACATACCAGCGAGAAATTAGCTATAAAATAGCTACGGAATGTGTCATAGCTAATATGTAAAATTTTTGTAGTGAATGGTGGAGGTTAGCTTCCTTTTTCTCTCTTTCTTTTTTCTTCTTTTAATTTTTGTTTATTAAAATTCCAAATTTCACCTTCTAGAGTGCTTCACCAATATCAATCGTTAGCATGGATTAATTTCATACAATGTTCAAAGAGTTATTATTGAACCCAGAGCCAAGAAGAAACTTTGATATGATGGGCAAAAGGGAACGAAGATTGATGTTGTTATTGTGACCATAGAAGAACTTGAATGAATCTTTGGAACTAAGTCAATTGTTTGGATTACAAAATAAGATGATAAGTTGAATAAGGAGTGATTAGTAGGAAGGATGTTTAAATTAAAACCAATACAAAAATAAAATTGAAAATTGATCCAAGAAAATAAAAAGTCAGTTAAAATCAATTTCTTTTAGTTCTTTTGGATTGAGAAAACTTAAAATTAGTTAGTTTGATTTAATTTCAATTTTGATTTGACAATTAGGAACCAACCCAAACATAACTGAATCAAAATTATAAGGGTTAAGTATGTTTTTAGTCCCTGTACTTTTATGTGAAATTAGAAATAGTCTCTCTGTCAAAGTTCACATAAAAATGATCCCTATACTTTTGAAATAATTGGAATAGACCCTTATTTTAAAATGTGTTAAATATATGGTGATCTGTCTAACGAGAGATAGTATGACCCACTCATTATTTGACATGTGTAATTATTTAAAAAATAAAAAGCAAAGCTCTTCTTTAAAAAAAAATAGAAATTATTATTTAAAAAAAAAAAATTAAAAAGTAGAAGCTTTTCTTTTCTCCTCATACACCAAAGCTCTTCAGTTCTCGTCACAACCACTTTTCATTCTCTCTTCTTTTTTGTCACGACTACTTTTCGTTCTCTCTTCTTTTTCGTCACACACCAAAGGTTTTTTCTTTCTTCCCCTTTCTCTGTAAAGGTTGTATGAAGTCAAAGTAACTTTGAAGTTCGAGGGTTCCATCGGTTCGTTGTGGTTCGACTGGCGATACGACGGTGGTGCACAACGACAATGTGCGACGGTGGTATACCATAGTTAGGGTTTTCATTTCCAAAAATTAAGGTATGTTTTTTCATTTGCAAAACTAAATGTTTATTTTGTGTTCTAATGTATGCATTTGGGGGATTTTGTTAAATTGATTTAGGATTTTTCTCGTACATTGTTTGAATTAATTTTTCACATCGTAGGATTACAATGGGTTTCTCTCGTAACATTTCACCACATGGGTAAATTTGTGAGGTTGAAGAATTGGAAATTGAGAAATTTAGAAATGGGTTTCTGTGTAACATTTCACCACATGGGTACATTTTAATTTTGTATTTTTGTTTTTTTTTAAATAATAATCTTTGTTGAATAATTTCTTTTTTTTTTTTAAAAGAGCTTTGCTTTAAAAAAAAATAATTACACGTGTCAAATAATGAATGAGTCATATTATCTCTCGTTAGACCGGTCACCATATATTTAATGTCGTTTAAAATAAGGGTCTATTCCAATAATTTCAAAAGTATATAGATCATTTTTATATGAACTATGATAGAGAGACTATTTTCAATTTCACATAAAAGTATAGGGACTAAAAACATACTTAACCCAAATTAGAATGTACATTATTGAAATTAAAACATAAAATGACACTTAGTGTGAGTTAAAACAAAATGGAACATAAAAAAAATGTCAACCCTCGTTATGATTGTGAGTGAGCTAACAAAGAATAACATAACAACCCTTATGTCTTTTATTATAATGAGATCTACTAGAGTGCAATATCTAACTCCACAACATTACAACAATCGAATTATGACATCACATTAGAATAGCAATGCACCAACGTTTCTCAAAATAACAACACAACACATCACACAATTTACTACAAGACTCATTCTCGCCATGGCTGCACATTGCAAATTTTACAAACACTATTCTCATTGTGACCTTGTTTAAGTAGGTTTCTTTCTTATTTCTTGCTTATATTACGTAGGATTAATTTATTAGTTCTATTAGCATATTATTTTCTTCCTTCTTGGGTCCATATTTTATTATATATGATCCTAATTTCTATATTAAAAAGAATACATTATTTCCTACATATATCAAGTGGATTGGTTTTATTATAAGTTTAATTTCTTTCTTCTTGCCTTGGTATAAAATCCCATTTTTAAGTTTCTACATTAAAAAGATATTATATTATTTTTTAATTCTATTATAAGTTAATTTATTCTATTATATGTTTATTTTGTTGTTTTTGCCTCCATAATTTATTCATATAAAATTTTATTGTAAGTTTTTACATTAAAGAAAAATATACTCTATTTTCTTAGTGTATTTTGTATATTATTTCTTAAAATGGACAAGTACAAATATACATGTGTAACATTTATTCAAATGAGACGATGGAAATACTTTGTATAATTGGTATCAATTTCATCAATCAATCATCACAAAATGAGGTAATCCCTTTCCTAATTACATAGATATCTAATTTAACTAATAAATAATATTTATGAAGATGAAGTTTTACTAAAAACACTCAAACTATATATACTTAATTTGGCAAGGCTTTAAATGAACCAATAAATATGGAGGAATGAGATTATTTGAACAAAGAAGGAGACTTTAATATATTAAAATCTAAAAAAGAAAAGAAAGTTGTAGAGGAACAAACATCCAAAAATGTTAGAGGACCAGGGAATAGAAAGCCTTGGAAGCATTAATCTTGGTATTGGATCATTTTGAGAAAATTAGGGACACTTCAGAATGTAATTGGTGTGTAAAGATTATGTTGTCAATTCTCATAAAAATGGTACAAGTAATCTTATACATCATTTGTTGCATCAATGTGTAAAATTCCTCAAGATGTCGCTTAATCTTTCTAAAAAAAATCCCTTGCCTCTCAACACATCATGAGAAAAGAAGCTAGAAAAGGAAGTGGTATTGTTCTTACTAGTGTACAATTCATGTAACAAACATTAGTTAGAATCATAATTGTTGATGAGTTATCTTTTAAGTTTGATGAAGGGGAGAGATTTTGATTCTTTATAAATATCTTGCAACCTAAGTTCCCAAATTCAAAAAGGATTACAATTGTTAGAGTCAACAATTGAAAAGTATGTTTAATAATTCAAATTAAGGTATAAGTTTGACAATTGATGGTTAGACTTTAATGCAAATTTTGTGTTATCTTTGTTTTAATAAACATTATATTCATGATGATTGAAAGCATAAAAGGATCCTCAATTTTTGTCTAATTAAGAACCATAAAGGGAAATAATTGGTATATAATTTGGGAAATGCTTGGAAAGTTGGTTAGTAGGTAGAGTTTTCTATATTATTGTAGACAATACTAGCTCAAATGATGTTGTAATAGCTTACTTAAAAAGTGGAATGGTGCATTGGAATACACATCCATTAAAAGGATAACACTTGCATGTTAGATGTCATAGATATATAGTAAATCTTGTGGTCAATGATGACTTGAAGGAGTATCATTCTTCAATAAATAAAATAGGAATGTAACTAGATGCGTTCATGCTTCACCTGATAGGATGGATAAATTAAAAAAATTGCATTAGGGAGGGTAAGATAGTTGATAAATTTAATGTTCATCTAGATGTTCCCACTAGGTGGAACTCCACCTACATAATGCTTGTAACTTCACTAAAATTTTAAAAAGCATTTGAGAGATTGCATGAGAAGTGTGTGGTGTTCCAAATAATGATAATTGGGATAATGCAAGATGTTTCCTAGATTGTTGAAAATATTTTTTGATATCCCTCAAAAGGTATCAAGGACTAATTTTGTGACTTCTTCTCAATATTTTAATGGACATTGTACCATTTTACTTGCATTTCATAAATAAATAAATAAGAGGTTCTCATCAACAACTTGGAAGCATGGTTGAAAAAAATGAAAGTTAAATATGACAAGTATTGCAAGAATGTTAAAAATGTTAACATATTAATTTTTCTTTTGGGGTGCTTAATTTCTAAAGCAAGTTTCACTTTGTTGGATGAGACTTAAAGAAATTTCACAAAGAGGAAGTTGTTGATTTTTTTATACAAGAAGATTAAGCAAATATTATATCATATTTTTGATATATGTACATGTTTTCTACTAATAATAGATAAAAATCAAATATTCTAAAAATGGGAATTGATGAATTTAATGCACTTAAAATTCAATTGCTAAATAATTTGGAAAAGACATGAATCTTAATAATAAAAGTCATAAAAATGAAGTAAATTTGTATCTCATAGAATATGAAGAAGAAAAATAATACTTTTGACATCTTCATGGGTTGGAACGTGAATTATAAGAAATATCTTATTCTTGACCAAATTACTTAATATTTATTGGTCATGTCTATTATTGCTTCATTATAGGAGGTAAAATACTTAATTGTTACCTAAGTTCTCTTACACAAAAAACACATGAAGTATTAATTTGTATTCAAAATTGATATGGTCAACACATTGAAGAATTTATGTTAAACATTAAAAAAATTGAAATGATATTTTGTTACACATTTTTAATTTTTACAATTATTTACTTTTTTTTATCTAGCTTTCCACTCGTTTACTTTTAAAACTTTATTCAATCCCACCACTTGAGGAAGATAACTCCAATATTGAGTCTTGTTAGTAATTGCACTTGTAGTAGTGATAATATTATTAATTATTTTTTTATTGTGTTATTTTTTATAAATTTCAAGTAATATTCATTTCAACTATTTTCCAGGAAGTAGCTATTGGAAAGATTTATTATTGGAAGATGTTTAATTTCAAAGAATATTCATCTAAATTATTAATTGATGATTTCCCATGACTTACATTAGTTATTATTTTATGCAAAAATTTATTTGATATGGATCATATAGTTTTATTCCACATCTAATTTTAGATTCTTATAATTTATGACATATATTATTATTGTTTAAATTAAATTTAAATTAAATGTAGAAGTAGGTGAAAGCAAATTAAAATCATGAATATTAATGGTTAATTTTAGATTAGATTTTTTTAATATGGCCCTTTGGTTTATAATTATTTTATTATAATATGTTTAATAATTTTATAAAAAATAACAAATAATTCAAAGCAAACCAAATATCGGTGTAATTTGGTTCAAATTTAAAAAATAAAATAAAAACAAATAGAACCATATTTAAATTTTATATTTAGTTCGAGTAACTTTTTAATACAAAACTGAATCTAGAACATCCGGTAACTAACTTTGTTATCCACGTGTGCATTTGGACTTCAAAATTTAGATTCAGAAAATACATTTTAATTTTATAATAACTAAACTAACACAATAAATTTTGTAAGAATTGTAACATATTTCATAATTTACGAGCTTATTATGCAAGTGATGTCCAGGTTCCTCAAGTACTTGCAATAGGAAGGTTTAGGTGCACAAGAGGCTACTTGGAAAGATTTTGAAGTGATGCAACAAATTTATGCAAACCTTCACCTTGAGGACAAGATTCTTTTGAATGGGGGAAATGTAAGAGATCCAAAAGAGGCCAATGCCAACATGAGGGTGAGCTGGAAAGTGATGCAGAGAAAGGAGATATTAGTAATATTGATGATCAACAGTTAAGAGTACGGAACGACTAGCACATGATTTGAGACACATGAGAGTGCGCAAAAGTGAGAGAAAGAGAATAACGAACTCTCTACCCCAACATTTTGTAGTAGGATGCTAAAAATAGGGCAAGGTGAGAGAATGGGTGGTTGAGTATTTTGCTGATGTATTTTTTGTCTCTATGCTTCTTCCTTCTCTTTGGTTTTCTCTGATCCTATGCTATTTTTTGTACTGACTATTGGGCGATGATGCTATAGCTAATCTTAACACCCATTCAAATAATCTCAATACAGATTTATATCCTTGCATGACACTAATTGATACCAAACACAATATCCAAGTGGTTGTCCATTCGAAATTAATGCAAAAGTGAATGGATAAGCATACCGTTTGTTGTGCTCAAGACCCCTGGATTAAGAAGTGATCTTATCATCTAAAGATAGTTACCTCCTCTTGTGCAAGAATCTTCATCTCCACCCAACTCACCCAACGTGGATAATGTATTTAGTCTCTGATCCATGAGACTAAGGTCATACAAGAACTTCAAGAAAAGATACATGTGAGCTAACCTAATGAAACCAAACACTAGACCTGAAAATAGAAAAGACTTAACTACCATATTCCATCGTTTTAATTGAATAGAAAGAGATTGTGCACGGAGATTTTGCAAGCAGTATAAGTTCACTGTAACGTATTTAAAATAATAGCTGTCCGCTACCAATATGTTTTTAAGGATTTAAAAAACAAAAATACCCGAGTCATAGTATATATGGTCGGGTTCAATCCAAAATTTCAGACATTTTAATACAATCTTAATTAAGAACCTCGCATACCGTATAACCCAGCTACAAATTTAAAAATAATACTACAGTTTAATGGGGAGCAATAAAATCCATCCTACAACACACAGTCATGCTAACCGCGTCAGGAAGCCCCTTGAATTGCAGCGGCAGCAGGTTGCATGGCTATATCCTGATTCTGTCTCACAGCAAATCCATGGCCTCCATAACCCTGACCACCACCATAATGGCCTCCATTGGGATCACTTCTCCACTGTATGATCCCAAAACAATAAATTTGAGATGTGTTTTCAATAATGAATTGTGAAATTTATTTAACATTAGTATTTATCCCTTACGTAATGCGAGAATTCATTTTGGGACCCCAAAATGTAAATATAGAATTGAAAAGTATAATGCCAAAAGGGAAATGCCATTCAACCAATTTTCCCATTACATAGCGCCACAGGTAAAATACATCAAACGATTAAGTGAAACAAAAGAAACAAGCTTACATGCTTATTTCCTGGACTGCGACCCCAAGAAAGGCGCACTGTCTGCTTCCCAATTACTGTCCCATTCAATGCCTGAATTGCTTCCTCGGCATTCTTTCTGTTACAGACACAACACAGCAGAAACCATAGTTAACCCACTAAGAATATCCAAACGCTACACTCTAAGAATTGCTTATTTGAAATTTGGTAGGTCAATTGTTAATAAAATGTGTCCTTCAAATAACATTGTTTAATAATCATTCATCCACTAGTACATATCCTAGTTATTAATAATTAAGAAATTGTTTAAGCACCGTTGCTTATATAAGCAAAGACACGTCATGTTCTCCAAGGTATCTTCTGTTAAGAAGTGATTCTTAGAGTTAAACTAAACAAATAAGCAAATCTTGGAGATGCTCTACGGCAAAAATAAGACAGCACCAATTATGCTGGCAATGGCTATCAAAATCAAACATTATATACACTTGTCCTCAGAAACTTGATTAGATATATCCTTAGATGATTTCAAAAGCATTAGAATATGACATATTGGACGATTTCTTAACCCCATCACAAGAATACACACGCCACTTCACAGAGGGGCAGGGGTTTCACTAACATGGAATGAAAGTTATAATCTATGTCATCATTTTAAGAGATAATACAAGAATTAAGTACCTGTCCACAAATTGAACAAATCCACAACCTTTCCCCACTGGAATTTTCACAGAGACAACCTCTCCAAATTGCAAAAATGGTTGTCTGAGATCCTCGTCACTGATATCAGAATCAAGCCCTCCAACAAATATCTACAACAGAGACCAGTTACTGTGATATGAACAAAGCAACGTGATTAACATGTACAAAAAAATTACAAAATCAGACTCACAGTAGTGTTGTTTGAATCCCCTTCTTGAGAACCTTGGGCCACAGCACCATTAGCCGAGTGTCCACCTGCCAATACCACAGCTAGTTAAAGAAATAAAAGGTCAGAGTTTGAAGTTTCTAGTCAGAAGCATGATAAATGATATAATTCATTCGGGTGAGAACCTTCGACTGGTGTTATAAACATAAACAGCAAGCCTTGGCAACATATACATTTTAAAGCAATGAACAATGAAATATTTATGCCTGATGGTGGATTCAAGTTTCTAAATTGTGAAAATCCTGATTATGGATTCAACTTTCTAAATTGATAAATTAAAGTATGAGAAACAACAGACTTGCAATTTAGAAGTTGTCAATATATAACATGAAAATGGTAAGGGAACAGATACAAAGAACCAAAGAATAACCAAATCTGCAATATGTATGCAATTGTCAACGACAACAACAAGGCCCTTCAAGCTGAAACAGATGGCAGATAATCTATACGCATAAATCTATTGATGTAGCAACTCTAGAAATTATGATTACTGGTAGCACAAAAAGCACATACATAACATATGATTACTCATACAATTAAACACGTTACTTACAACTTTTTTATCATATTCGTCTACAAAATAAATAATAACCTATGATTGTGACCTGGGAATGCTTCGGCTGCACTTAACTTCTAAAAGTGAACCAGGAAATTAAATTTTGGGGTCTCCTTTCAGACAATATAGAAAATACATAGTAGTTGAATCGAGATAAAAACTGCAAATCAGAAGACCCATTTTGGAAATTGTGAATATTAAGATTCATGATCAATAATAAAAGATAATTCTAAGAGCAATATAAAATAAAGAAACATATACACGGTTAAGTTAAATAGTTAACTAACATTGTGACACACAAGTTTCAAAATAATTTTTATTTTATTTTCCAAAATACCTTGATTAGAAAATTCCTGTTTAAATTTGAAAATAAAACTAAATTATAATGAATCTAAATTTACTATTATTCCTTTTTACTTCAAATTTTTATTAAAAGAGATTAGAAAGTCCCATATGAATAAAAGGTTCAATGATAACTTATAGCCCAAAGTAAAAAAATGAAACTGGATGGGGTTTGTCTTCAAATTAAAATATAAAAATTCCTATAATAAAAAAGTGCATTGCTATTTAACATTAGGGTTGTGGCCTTCTTGAATCACTAGCAGCAAATGCAGCTTGAGTGGAACAGAGAGGTTGGAGATTTGCAGTGCAGTATGATTTGCCCTCTCTAGTGGCCAACCAAGGCATCACAACCCGTTGCAGAAGAATCAAACTGTTGGCGTGTGAGATGCGGCTCATTTGAGATTCACATAATTCAGTTGAGATTCAACCCCAAAGTCAATACAACTCATGATTTGTATAGTCAAGTTGATGAATTGCATCATGTTGAATGGTACAATACTGAAAACAATGCCAATAAAAATAGAGGTATATGCAGAAGAAAAGAGAGTACACTGAATAAATTACTACATGAGCATTAAAATGGCATGATAAAATAGAGTAAATTAAACTTATCAACCTGGGGTTTGTGAAACAACACAAACTTCCCTTACATGAGACAAAGTGTAATGTTTTTCAAACAATTACTGAAGGTTAAGTTTCACGCATTGATTAATGTAACTTACTATAAAATAAAACTACGTCAGAAGCATGCTGAAGAAGAATTATAAATAACCAACCTTGAGAAGAATATTGTTGCTGATAACCGTAAGTTTTCTTGGGAGTTGCAACACCTATTCTCATGGGCCTACTAGAACAATAAACGCCATTCATTTCAGTCATTGCTCTTGTTCTCTCATTTTCATCCCCAAACCTAACAAAACCATAGCCTTTTGAACGGCCAGTATTAGAATCAATAACAACTTTTGCTCCCTTGATAGACGAAAATCTGCTAGCAAAAGTCTCTTGTAACATAGCATCAGTAACATCAATGGCCAAGTCCCCCACAAATATAGAGAGATCAGAAGTAGCATCAGAAGAACGCCTATCGCCAGCACTGAATGTGGCCCAATTCAGACGAAATGCCTGATCCGTGTTTGGCATCATGGTACCATTATAGTTCTGCAAGACTTTCTCAGCCGTCGCACGAGAGTAGAACTCTACAAATCCATATCCCTCAGACTGACCAGTTTGCTTATTCCGAATGACCTTGGCAGACACAACCTGCACATATGGCAACACAATCAAAAAGCCTTGCTAGGCAATGCACTACTAACTTAGACCCATGTTAACACCAATAGGTAGCCACAAGCAAAAAGGTTCACACTTAACTAATGTCCATAAATTGCAATGGCTAATTGTCAACTAGGGATCTTAAAGATGCGGATATGAAAGAAAGAAAGACTAAAAGATCCTAAGACTAAAAGGACGAGTTTTATTAGCCACTTCTTTCCAGCCAGTGTTACAATTAAGAGATCTTGAATGTATTAATTCGATGAAAACTCAGGTCAACAGAGCGAAACCCTAAGTTAGGGGACCACTTAGGCGGCCAACAGTACAATCCCATGGATTCGCATTGCCAAAGATTGAAACCGAAAAAAATAAAAAAATCTCGTACAATAATTCCATCACAAAGAACCCGAATCACCAACATAAAACAAGATCAAAACACTCGAAGTAAAACTCACATAGCAGGCAACTAAAACAACCTGTTAAGAGAAGAATGATTCAATCATCAGAATAACACGCGGAAGTTGCCAAAGTAACTTCCAGCTACAAATCAAGCTTATTCACACGTATCAGAAACAAATAATTGCCGCGCAACGCCGGTAACGAATCACGTTAGCGAAAAGAAGAAGTGAATGAATTGGATGGTACCTCGCCGGTGTGAGCAAAGCAGTTGTGGAGGTAGTTCTCGTCCATCCAATGGTGGAGGTCGCCGAGCCAGATGGTCCTGATCTCGTCGGAGGAGGCGACGGGGGAAGCGGCGGGCTGTTTGTGGTGGTGGTGGTGGGAGGGAGGGGGCGGCGGCGGGGGTAATGAGGGTGGACATAGGGCATATAATGCTGCGGGTACATCATCATCTGCTGCTGCATCATGGCCATGGCGGTGGCGGGGTACTGCATGGCCATCCATTGGTGCTGGTACTGATGCGGCTGCGCCCACTGCTGCTGCTGCTGCTGCCCCTGCTGCTGACTCAGATCGCCGTTGCTGCTGGGTTGAGCCATCACTAGCTGCTACCACCAACCTAGTTTAACTGGCTTTCCCTTTCTCTCTTTTTTCTTCCCACCTCACCAGAGAAGAGAAGAGAGGACCTGGTCCAAGCGGGTGCGGAGATGCCAAGACCAGGCTACACACAAAGAGAGAAAGAGAAAGAGAAAGAGAAGGGCGCAATTTGTAGGGTTGCTCTTTTATAAAGGAACACCACACACACACACACTCACAAACTTAACGCCACCACTGCAACCCAAGTGTGTGTGTCGACACAACAACACAAATGGTTTGGGTTTGGATCTCACTACGGGGTAAAACTGTCACGAAAAAAACCCGCTTCCTACTTAGCCGTCCGTGATTTTCTCTCCTGCTCTGGGGCCCACTCTTCTGTATCAACGTCTCTCCTTAACCCTCACTCTCCCACGTGCCTTAACCCTTCCACTGCACTCATTATTATTATTTTTTTTATACACGCTTATTTAAAAAAAAAAAAAAATTGACAATTATCGTTGTATTGTTTAATGTTGTGGAGTTTGTTATAAAAATGTTTTGAATTTTTTTTTATCGTTGAGGGGCTGGGATGGGTGAATTGTATGGTCAGATCTAACTCTGCGGTTCAACGAAAACTCTTTAAATTGGCTTTTAATGAATTACTGAAGGTTCTAAATCCTATTTATTTAAGTGATATGGAGCAAAATTAACTATCTAATTATGCAATTTCCTAATTTAATTTGGATTTTTAATTATTTCTTCGTGGTTATCACCCCATGTGCGTGTACACATTTAAGACTGACTAGTCGGTTTCTTTTTCAATATAATTGTTTTTTTTTTAATAAAAGTAAAGGACACGAGATAAAATGTATTAAATTATTAATTTTTTTAAAATAATTAATTATTCGCTAATCCTTTTTTTTACAAAAAAAAACAAAAATAGTATATTTATCTCAGCATGGTCAACCACGAAGGAAGTGGGTGATACTGATAATATAAATTTTACATGGATCAAATTTCTGAAGTCGTTAGCTGTAGAGTTTTATAAAATCACCAATGTCAAATGTCTGAATGAATCTCATATTTATCAATATGAGGAAATAGAAATAGTTTGCTTAACTACTATTTTTGTAAATACTACAAAGATAAAAGAAATTAATTATTTTAATTGTAAATTGAATTTGATGTACATTAAAGATAACATGGACAGAAGAATATAATATATAAATCGGTGTATCCTAACATTATTTTTTGCTTCTTCTTTTTTTCAGATTAATACACAACATTAGCAATCTTAGAGGTGAAACAGGAGATTGTACTAACTGCAAATATCTTTGAACTTACTGGTTTGTTCTTGATGGGAATAAGGTTTGATTAAATAGATTAGAATATTTGACTTTTAGTTAGTGCTGTGTGCCAGTTATAATAAATTACTAACTAATTAGTCTATCATAGACTTCTATAATTTTATCTTTTGTTTTCTTTTACCTCAATACTTTTGAAGTCCAAACGTGATTTCTTTTAGGGTAAGGTCAAAACGTGATGGAAGAAGTACTTTTATGTTTTTGAATATATCTTTATTTATTTTAACATAATTTGCAATGAAGTTAAGACTAATCTCTACCCTGTTTTCTCGAAAGAATTTTGTTTTAAGAATTTGAATTTTATATTATTTTTATTTTGATATCTATTACAATTATTTTAAACATGACTTTTTAAGTAAAATTTTAATTATAATAAACTTACATGTGCAACCTGTAAACTAAAAGTTAAAAACTTAAGTTTTGGGACAAATAATTTATAAACTACTAGAGGAATTCTTAATTATCATACACTTACTAAATGTTGTTAATGCAATCATCTAATTATATATTGTGGGTGTATTTAATAAAATAAAATTTTAAGAATAATTTAATTAGAATGAAGTTATGTATGAAAATATATAAAGACTATGAAAGAATGCAATCATTTGTCCACAATATTAAATTAATGAAATAGATTGAAGTATTCTTAGTCTTCATTCTTTATCCTAGGCCACACAATTCATTGGCTACATTCAAAACAAAAAGCTTGATACAATACAACACGAGGTTAAAAATATTTGGTTGTTATAGTAACATTAGTATTCCGCAGGGAATATATTAATGGCATAAATCTTTATTGATGAATGACGATGAAGAGAGATAAATGCCACTTGTCTTTACCGAGACTTTTTTGAAAATGACTATGATTCGAGGACTCAAATTGCGTCTTTTAATTGAAGTATGGGATTGGTTCCAATGCAACGTCTATAATCCTCGTGTTTTTAAAACGCGTTTGGTGGTGGCTTGTAACCTTGCATTTGCATACTTGCATCGCATGTTGTTTAAGAACACCACCACCAGGTCAAAACCTGAGATATTGAAGCCACCGTGTCACGTTTCCTAGTCAACTTGGTACTTCCGGAATCAAATTTTAGACTTTTAGGTGTCTCCTCTAAACGCGCAAATTTGACTAACTTTGTATTACACCAACTAGTAATATGGAATTAGGAGACAAAATAGTAACTAGAACATGGTTATTTGACCGTCAATAATTTTAGAACTTTGTACAGTAAAATAACAAATTAAGTGATTATTACAAATGTCTAATAATAAATTATTAAAATTGACTAAATACAACTAACTTGTATTTTTCTCCTTTTTAAAATAAAACAAATTTCAATTTGAAGATTGGATTTAATAATTAAACACAAATATTTACATATTAATTAGTTAATAAACTAAATTAAACTTATAAAAAAAAATTCATTAGAAGAAGATTGTTTAAGCATGGCCTATAAATTGTATTTCAAATATGATAAATAAGAAACCCCATGGAGTGTAGAATAGAGCTATCTGTGAGGTATACAAATCATACAAGTCACCGTGATGAGACACATAATGTTTGTTTGGAGAATAGCATGTAATAAACACGTGGTGGCGTGTGTGCCCACCTAAATGATTCCAGGTCCAGCTGTTGGCAGCTAAACATCATGCTACCACCATGAGCCTAACTAAGAACAGTGATAAAACGTTGAACAACGACTTGCTTTAAAATTAAAGTATATGTCTTTCAATTTCTTTAAAACACATCTGTGCTCTCTTTTGACAATTTGTACCAATATTAGAAGGAATCACTTTTTTCAACCCATTTTTTAAATGCCTATGTCCGTCTATCACAGGGAACATTCAGGTCTCAAAAATATCTTTCAAGTTGAAATTTCAAATTCCCCTGATGCACCAACACAAAGTGCACGGAGTTGCACGAGTACAAAGAATGAATTAAATACCAAGTGAATAAGAAGACAAGAATAACGACTACAAAAATGAGAGAGGACAGTGGCCAAAATTTCAACAGGGTGGTTCTCCTGTTGGCTCTTCAAGCAACTTGTGAACAAAGATTAGAGGAATGTTGAAAGCGTTCCAAGGGGGAAAGAAAGGGAAAGGCAAAACGTGGTATGTACATACCCATCAGTTTACCTACGATAATCTTCATGGATGAAACTCTCGTATGGTGTTCCTGTTAGTGCCTTGCTTACATTGTCCCAGTTTCCAATTTGGCTGGATAAGGACCCTTTATGTATCTTCACTTGACGGCTCTTCAAATCCATTTGAGGAACCTTTAGAAAATCCTGAACATCCCTTAGTTTCTGGAAACAAGAAAGACAATCAAAATGTCATGAGCCCTTTACACATTCGAGGAGAAAAATGGTGCAGACATCATGCAGCAGCTAGTGTGACTTACTGTACGGTTTTTTACTACGTCTTCATAGTACAGGATAATGTGCCGGGTGCTCTTGAAATACTCCAAAGCTTTGGTCGTGGTTTCATTCACTTGTCTTAGTTGTCCAATCAGCAATGTTGAATTGATTACAGGCTTGTATTGTGCAAGTACTTCTGCCTGAAAGTATAGTCAGAATCCAGTAAAATTAATTATCTTAACTGTTTTTAGTATGGTAATACATCAACTAACTTGAACATATTGAATCAAATAAAAGCACTCATGTATATGTTCAACCACAAATATTCCAACTCAAACAGGTGCACATGCACAAAAAAAAAATAGAAACCTCCTTGGGTGAATGAACATGAGACTTGTGAGTCCCGTTTAGTAGCTTAGCATTTCTATCATATTCATTAGCAAGAACAGAAACCATCCTGCGCAAAAGATTCCTTCTGAAAAGAAATATGAGCGAAACACCATGTAATCTGAAGTACTCAGCAATTTGTTCATGATGCTGCATCAATCCCTGCATTAAGTTACAAATATTATATTATATCCTCAGATCTTCATAAGATTAAGGGTCTGTTAGAAGAAAAATATATATATAAAAAAAATTGAAATTAATTTTTTTATAAGTTAAAAGTCACTTATGTATAAGTTAATTTGTAAAAACTTTCTCATATAATTTCTCTGATTTTTTACTTTTAACTTATGCATAAGTTATTTTTAGCTTGTAGAGAAGTTAATTTCATTTTTTTCTCTCCTAGGCTAGAAGTCTTTATAGAGAAGCACAAACAATAATGTATAGAATATAATAGAAGTTAAGGCTAACATGTAACATATTGAGTATGTACAAAATAAACAAATGCATCAAAGTACTATGTTGCAGGGTTTGCTTTTGATAGGTTTGTTTCTAGGTATTTTTTTTTTGTTTTCATGGCATGAACTCCTTTTATATACCAAAATGTTTCTAACAGTTGCAGGAAAGGAAGGACAAATACAGGGGATCAAATGAATTGACCTCAGTCATAAAAAAATAATTTAGCATTGTCAAGTATTATTTTCAAAGAATGGACAACATATATACAATATTCAAGTGACAATGTTTAGAAATATTATCAGTAGAGATTGTTGTAGCATCAGAAATTGTTCCACTAACCTATATTAAGGAACATGGAGATAGTTAAATTATCTTTTCAAATATATGCGCTTATCAGAAAATCGACATGCAGTAAGGGACTTGTATAATTTTAGGAACTTGATAAATAATTACACAAGGACAAGTATGGAGTTTATTCTTATCCAGGTTTTATTATAATACTTTCTTCTAAATCTAATGCAGTTGTAGAGTGGTTTGTTTATTCACTCTCGAGATTTCTACCAACATTCAAAGAAACTCCAAGAAACATCCATCATATGAAAAATCATTAAAATACAGAAAAGAACACCAATCTTCATTGAAACTTCCTCAACATATGTTATGTACACATTTTTTCTGAACATACACAGATCATCTAGCAAGCAGAAAAAACCATGGAAAATACCAAAAGTAAAAGTGGTAGTGAAAAACTTAGCTAGATAACCTGTGTCCTTTATAACAGCTACAGCTTAAAAAAAAATTAGAAGAATGTTAAATTCTAAACAACATAAAAAATAGCAAGGTAATATTATTTGCATCACATCTTGTACAACATAATTTGTGTCAATGCCTGTGTGTGACATAAACAAGTTGATTCTAATTCTCCCTTGTATCATAGTTCTGTGATCCTTTAGAAAAGATGGCAAACCCGTACCTATATATCTCATAAGAAACAGTTTATACTTCATGAAAAAGCATTACCTCTCCTTAAATCCCATATCAATCGACAGATACTTTGCTCAACTACTAGTTTAAAGAATAATGAATTGCATTCCAAAACATAGGATTATTCTTCATATACTCCATTTACAATTTTGATGAGTTTCCTTTTCGAAAGTAGTGCCAAAAACATAACAAGGAGAATCAAATATAAATTACCCATCCCATGTCTTGAACCTCATGCATAGATGAGAACACAAATGAAATCATTAATCATATCTAAAAAGTAGACTTCACCAGGGAAAATCCTCAATACCAGTTACTCAACAAATGTAAGAGAAAATATCCCTTATACCTTAAGCTTTTTTACCATCATCAATAGATAGCATTCCCTTAATTAAAGTTTCCAATTTCATTTTTCATTAGATGCATTCCAAGTAAATTATTTTAAATAAGACTGAATCCAGTTCTATCAAAGAATGTGATGAGACTATGGGGCCTGATGGTGCAATGGAGGGTAAGCACCCAACAGAGCAGCATCTAAGCCATGGTCCTAATATATGGAAGGTGCATTCAAGGAAAAGGGAAAGAAGAGAACATGGGACAGATTAAGGGACAGACAGTTATGCTGAGTGAAAAAGGAGCAGGGCCCAGTAGCAAGAAAAGGGAGAGGTGGTTATGAAAAGGGGAGAATCGTGAATTGAGGGGGGAATTGAGAAAAATACTCTGGTTTATGTTTCAGCCTTTTGGATTGGATAAGGAGTAGCAGTGATTGGCATTTTGTAATCTTATTTCATCTCTTCATTTTCCTCGTAACTTTGTTGTTTCTTCCATTACTGTTATATTTCCAGTTCAATAGAGTGTGTTTCTCTTTTAGTTGTGAGAGTTATTTTGAATTGGGCCTGCATCATAATGATCATTACTTTTACACAATAAACCTGCTTATTGCGCACTAGTTTAGCTAGATCACTCCCGACAAGGGGAAGTCATCAACCTAGCCATGCAACCATAGCCCTAATGAAATTTGCAAATGCATCTTAAGAACTAATAACAAAATGGAGTTAATATATAATTTGATCCTTGAAAATGACAACTTGAGCTTCGATTTTCTTAATATTTTCATATATATGTACACAAACTAGTGCTTTGGTGATGAGCATTGTTTGCAAGTTCAGAACTTGATAGGGTAAACTTGTAAGAAGTTGACAGTGTCGGAGACATATCTATAGATGTGCATATTCCGGGACTCACTCAAGCAGCACAAGTTGTCAACTTCAAGGATAAAATTGTACATTAACTCCAACTTAACCTGGTGCGTATCAGCCATTCGGATTCAAAAAGCGAAAAAAAAAATTGCTGTTGCCAGAAGATATAAAAATGCTTCAAACAAGACAAATATTTCTTAAAATAAAAGGGCATTCATAAATAAAGCAACATTTACCTGATTAAGCATCCACTTCAAGCCAACAGCAGTGGTGCACTCATTTTTTGAAGCACTACTTAACCAGTCTAGATTATAAATTGTATCCAGAGTCTCCGTTATTGTTGACATGTTACTCCTTCTCACCTTAACCGAAAAGATTTCCCCATTTGAGCTTATGTTATCATGACTGTTTAAAAACGTCTCAAACCATCCACTCCCAGATCTCTGCATTGACAGAATAGCAAAATAGCGCACAGGGTGGCAAGCGCATTCCGCCCTAACATAGAAATACCAAGCAAGAAATATCAGTAAAATTCAGACAGATTTGGCAACAAAACCGTAGATTTAAGCAGTACATTATTAATTGCACCTGCTGTAAGTTTTGGGGTTAGGGTAGTGCACATAAGGAATCTCCCAAGGTTCAATGTTAGGTTCTGGGCATGGTTTTTGAACAATCTTGATGTCTACAAAACCAATCTTGCTGCCAGTGCCTATCTGCTTCAGACAAATTGAACATATATACACACCACAGACCATTACAAAAGTCAAGACAACCAGCCTCCACACAAACGTAGAACTCTTCAAACCCTTTACAAGCAAAACATCCTGTAACCATGAACTACACTTAAATCAATTTATTTATATCAAAACATATACAATAAAGGCATAAGCTTGGTTAATCCCGCACCTGAAATAGATTGAAACCCCACAGAATCTACATCTTAAGGAAACTACCCAATCAAATGCCTAATACCCATTGACCTTAAAAACACACATATTCGATGGGATTATTTTAAGGAACCAGATCGGACAATTTCACGTGCCACCCCATGTAAAAACAAAATCAAAAATAGAATCTTTTACTTCAAGTTTTGGGAAATTTGAAGGAATAAGACAACATGGCACGTTGTAAGGTGAAAAATTACACTTACCTTGGCGAAGGAAGAGAGATCATCGGCCATTGTTGACGAGCTCAAAAGAAATGCGGATGAAAAGGCATTTTTCGGGTACTCTTTTGAATTTCTTTCTTCGTTTTTTTATTCTAAAGCTTTTATTTCAGCTCTCATTGCTGCAACAGGCAACGACCCAGGCAAAAAAAATTGGAGGAAAGCAAAAGGGGTTCGATGATGAGATGAGAGGTGTGTGCGTGGCACTGAGCTTTTTCTTTTCTACTTCCTTTTTATTATTTCTTCTTCGTCGTCTTTTTTCCTCTTTTTTTTTGAATTATTTTTTGGTATAGTGAAGAATGAAATAATTTGAGGCTTCTAATCTTGGACTTCAGATAGACACATAGGCATATTTTCGGTAATCTGCACTTAGCTATGCCACACTCTTTCTTCGTGTTCGGAAGTGTTTCGAGTATCGTTCGGAGTGAGGAGGGTTGAGTACGACCAAAGAAAAACGACATCATGAGTACGCTCCATCCATCGCCTCTTAAACGACATGATCGTGACTTCGTTTGCAATCCATGAGATCCACCACATGTCTGCACCAAAAGAAAATTATGGACAAATTAAAATCACAAAGTCGACAATTTTCTAGATTTCCCACCCACGTGTCAGGTACAGTCTTAAACATTTCAATTTCATCACAGTACGGTTATTAATAAACTTGTTTGAACTTTATAAGTATTGACATTTGTTTCTTGACTCTTAAAAATAATTATTATCCATGTTTTTTTGTTTTTCAAATAACCTATCATAACAATTAGGGCGCCAGGGTCAATAAAAATGAGGTATCTTTGCCAGGGTATCCCTCCCTAACCATGGTTTTATGGCCATTATTTTTGGAGTCTTGCTAATCAATCAAGACGCTTATTAAAGAATATAATAAATTATATAAAAGTGTACTAACAACTAGGATTAATAATGATAACATGAAAGAATCTTTGTTATTTTATCTCGAATTCAGTATGTGAATTTCAATTTCATAATATAGTGGCTATAATTTTGTTTTATTAACAAAAGTTAATAAATAGTTTAAAATAAAAAAGCTTAATATTTTTTTAAAATTGTAATAATAAATTATAAAAGATAAAATATTAAAAGATCAATCATTGTAAAATATAGATCGAAGGCTGATATCTTTTTGATAGAACTCAGAAAAAGGATTCAAGATGTTTGGTATGTGTTATAATTGCCAAAAAGACTCATAAAAGATAGTATGTGTTCTACGCCTAATGTGGGCTTGGTCAAGCTCATGCTAAAGTTGGATGAGCACGACCCAAGTTTTGTGACGGCCATGGTCAATTTCGCTAATGTGAACAAGCAGAAACCATTCATCTCCAACGACAAAATCGGTACAACAGTTATTTCGTAAATAACGATAATTTTTTTATAAACACTACCCTAAAGACCATACTTGGAACACAGAGATCATCAACAGTCAAAGAAAACACCAAGTGATTAAAATATGAAGATAAAATGTTAAATGGAAAGTTTTCTTCTTACTAGAAACATAAAGCTTAGTGTCGCATTTTTCCATCATTGATGAATGTAAGCAAAAGATAGCTTTGGATGAATTATTATCGTCCATATTGATTTATTATTGACTTATCCACGTTTTGATTGGTGAGATAAAAGCCAAGTTTCTTCGTATTCAATCAAACCAACCACCAACCATGAGCTTTAGCGGCTTTTTTTCATGGCCATTAATTGCTTTATCAGTTTTGAATGATGACAATTCATAATGTTCGTTCCATGTGTATTTTTTCTTATCTAACCATCGCCTACTACTTTTTCTTTAGCTTGGAAACCTTTTTACCCAAACTCACATTTCAAGAATTTTCTTCACTAAAGTTTGTGTTTTTATTATTTTTTTTTTATAGTCACGATAACGAGGAGAAGCTCGTATAAACTATACAGTAGTTTTATTTGTAAAGTGTTTGAATTGAGATTTTTTAAATATAATTATATTTTATAGAGAATTTGAAAATATTTATACAAATAACGGTGTTTGATATAGAATTTAAATTTCATTTATAAGAAAAAAAGGAAGAGTTTAAATTTTTATATGTTTTTTTAAATTTATATTTATTTATTATTATTTATTATATCTTCTCATCTTGATTTCATGGTGATGTTATTAGCTCGATTAAGATTGAGGTGTTGTTGGTTCAATTTACTAATATTAACAATGATTTATTTTAGATTAAATTCGATTATGATTATATTTTGGTTGTCATCTTCATCAATCAAATTTATTTCTAACGTTAATTAGGATTTTCTTGATTAACATTAACAATATTTTTAAACCGGTGTGAAGCATTATTTTCTTTTTTATGTTGATGTCAACTTAAGTTATTTTTAGTTGTTAATAATCAGTTTTTTTCCTCAGAATATTAGCCAAAGTTATTCCTCAATTAACATTAATCAGAGTTTTCTCAATTATTTTTCAATGATACTGACTAATTTTTTTTATCAATGTTAGTAAGATTACCTATATAAGTTAGATATTTATATTCGAATATTGATAATGATTATTATTTTGTTAATATTATTAAAATTATTTATTCGTGAACGTAGATTAAAATTATTTCTCGATTGATGTTATTAAAGATTTTCTCAAGTGATTTGAATGAGATTGTTTTTTTGAATTTGAAATTTTAGAAATCTACGGAGTAATTTAATTATTTAAAGTTACAAAATTTCAATTTAAAAAGAAAATAAGCACTTTGAAATTTTCATACTTCGTCCCTCTATCAAAAAAAATTTCTTTTTTTGTATTTATTTCATGACTATTTCTCGAACGACACATCATCGACTCAATCAAAATTAGAGTGTTACCGATTTAATTTGTGTTTCCAATTAATATCAATAAGAATTTATTTTAAATAGAAGTGGATTCAGATTATTTTTCAATTCTCTTGATTTTTTTCTTTTTTACATAGGTCAGAGTAAATTGCTGTATATTTTACAGAATAAAAATGTCTTTTCTTAACGTAGGAAGGACGACACAGCTTACAGAATGGAAGCACGCTTTTATTCCATTTATTGTAAAACGAAAACATGGTTTAAATAAGAGATATGGGCCTTCACTGATCGGAACGCTTGATAAAGGAAAATAGTCTGTTTAGCCATGAAGTCTAATATTAAATTTAATTATAATATATTATTTTTACATTAATATTAATTAATTAAAGTTATTAACCTTTCTAATAAAAAAAATCAGGGCTTAATTTTTTTATTTCACAAATATTTAGAATTTTATTCGATATTTTATAAATCTGGACTTTTGATAACAAAATTATTTATATTTCAGTCTATAATTTATTATTTTAGCGACTAAGTAAATATTATATGTTATTTTTTTAAAATCTTAAACAGATTTTATATTTTGATTTTGGTTTTCAATCATTTTTTTCTAACATTTTGGTCCATGGCATGTTTTTTGTTTTAATATTTATCGTTTAGGTGATATTTAGACTAAGACTATGTTTCTTTGTGTTGATGTAGTATAGTAAATGATGGAAGAGCAAGTGTTTATGATTTGGATCAAGTGATTTGAAATGCAATGCAAAGATGGGTTGTAAGATTGAGACGATAGATGTACTCGGTCGCTCGAGTGAGGAAAAAAGAATATAAAGTCAGCTCAATGATATTAAAATATTGTGTTAGCTCTAGATTTTTAATTATGGCTTTTACATCGTGCATGATGTGTGATAATTCGAAGGTCGAATGGATTATTTTCTTCACTTAAATTTTTTTGAAAAAATTGTAACTAGTAAGAATCGATTATCCTCTTTTTGAAAAATAAATTTACTTATTTTCAGAATCTGATAAACATAGAATATACATAGAATATACGATTACAAATACCGTATCATGCCATGATTCTACATGATTATTTTTTTCCATATTTAGCTTGGCATGACAGCGATGCACATTAATTTCATATCTGTTAATAGACAAATTTAGGATACCAACTATAATGGTTAGCGTAATTATAGCCTAGAATGTTTCTGTATTTCATGTATATATTGTGTTATCATATTCAATACAAGGCGGGGTTTTTGGAAATATTTTTATCATGGTATCGAAGCGAACCAAACTTCGATATCTAACAGCTCGAGAACACGATCGTACTTCTAAAATGGCAGAGAGAGGAGAGGCGGTGAAGAAAACACCATCGCCATACGATCCGAGTGCCGAGTGATAATCCTGGAAATGTGATTACACGGTACAATTACGAGGAGAGAATTACGAGGAATGTGCAAGGGCCGTGAAGATATCTCTGCGGGCTCGAAGGAAATGGAGTTTCATAGATGGAACTCATAAGGAACCTGAAGAAGACACATCTGAGATAGAAGATTGGTGGACAATTCAATCGATGCTTGTATCTTGGATACTAAACACTATAGAACCTAGTTTGCGTTCCACTGTTGCATACATGGAAAACGCAAAGGACCTATGGGATGACATCAAGGAACGATTCTCGATCGTGAACGGACCAAGAATCCAACAGCTAAAGTCGAGTTGGCGGAATGCAAACAACAAGGAATGACTATGGTTTCCTATTATGGGAAGTTGAAAACGTTGTGGGATGAACTGGCAAATTACGAGCAAATCCCACGGTGTAGATGTGGGGGATGCAAGTGTAATATTATGACGCAACTTGAGAAACGAAGAGAAGAAGAAAAAATTCATCAGTTCTTGATGGGGCTAGATGATGAGGGCTATGGAACTGCACGGTCAAATGTTTTGGCAACAGATCCATTACCCTCGTTGAATCGGGTGTATGCCACCATGGTGCAAGAAGAAAGGGTGAGAACAATCACCAGGTCTAAAGAAGAGCGAGGAATGATCGTGGGAATGGCTATGCGAGCGGAAACCAGGAACAAGTTGCGCAATGAAGCGAAAGAAAAATCAGTTGTTTGCATGCAGTGTGGAAGGAAGGGACATGACAAAGGCAATTGCTTCGAGATCATTGGTTACCCAGAATGGTGGGGAGAGAGACCACGAACCGATAGAAACGATGGAAAAAATCAACAAAGAACAGGAACCTTCCGAGGGAAAGGAGGAACGGCTCGCGTCAATATGGCGCACACTGGTGCAGATAACGTTGGTTCAACCGAAAAACCAGAAGTAGCAGGACTGAGTAATGAGCAATGGCAGATCTTGACAGCAATGTTGAATTCTCGCAAGGCAAATGAAACTGAAAAGATGACTGGTAAGAAAGCATGTGACTTGTGGATTATTGATAGTGGCGCCTCTAATCATATGACAGGAACACTAGAAAACTTGAGGGAGAGTCGAGCCTTGGAAGGGTGCCCAGTGGGACTACCAAATGGTGAATTGGTGCTGGCAAACAAAGAAGGATCAGTTTTCCTTGATGGAGGACTGAAACTTAAACATGTTCTATATGTTCCGAAATTGAATTGCAATTTGATTTCAGTCTCACAATTGACGAATGAAGTAAAATGTACAGTACATTTTACTGATAGATTTTGTGCAATGCAGGACCACACTTCGAGGATGCTGATTGGAGCGGGTGAACGAAAAGAGGGACTCTATTGGTATCGTGGTGTGAGTGGCATAAAGGCGTATCAGACCAATGCAGAAAATCAACTAGAGATTTGGCACAAGCGAATGGGACATCCTGCCTACCAGATTGTTAGAAAAATTCCGCATCTGAACAGCGTGAATAGAAATACGGATACAACTCGTGTGTGTGAAGTGTGTGAGAGATCAAAGCAATGTAGAAACACATTTCCTTTAAGTGATTTTCAAGCATCCAATATATTTGATTTAATACATTGTGATTTATGGGGTCCATATAGAACTCCCTCGTCTTGTGGTGCATCTTACTTTCTCACTTTGGTTGATGACTGTTCTCGAGCTGTGTGGATATATCTCTTGAATAATAAGAAAGATGTATCACAAACCTTAATGCATTTCATCGCTTTAATAGAACGACAATACGAGAAACAAGTCAAAATATTACGAAGTGACAATGGAACTGAGTTTATGTGTCTTCAACGATATTTTCAGCAACATGGGATACTCCATCAAACCTCATGCACTGGAACACCTCAGCAAAATGGGAGAGCCGAACGAAAACATCGAGACATCCTAAATGTAGCTCGTGCTCTACGATTTCAGGGAGAACTTCCACTTCATTTCTGGGGAGAATGCATTTTGACCGCAGGATACTTGATCAATCGTACACCCTCAACCGTTCTCCATGGAAAAACTCCATATGAAATATTGAATGGGAAGCCACCCACTTATGACCATCTACGGGTATTTGGATGCTTGTGTTATGCACATAACCAAGATAGGAAAGGTGACAAATTTGCAAGTAGAAGTTGCAAGAATGTATTTGTTGGATATTCAATCGGACAAAAGGGCTGGAAATTGTTTGATCTGGAAAGAGAAGTCTTCTGGACTTCGAGAGATGTTAAGTTTGTAGAACATGAATTCCCGTTTGCCGCTCTTGCCCACAGTAGACATTCAGAGGTAGGATTGCCTACTGTTGATGTTGGCATTGTCGAGGAAGCATTGCCTGGACTTGGTGCAATGAACAATGCGAGAACACGTTGTGGAGACCGATGACGTTAACCCCACAACGAAGATGTGCCCACAGCTGAGTTCGGGGAGGGTCACGCTGAATGCCATGAACAAGAGCCTCCCACCCGGATCGTTCTCCCACCGGAACAAACCGACTCTATGATGACGGAACTAGAGGTTCCTGAGGAGCATACTGTCCCTACATCCCTGGGGAAAGGTCTTCGTGTACGAAAGCCATCTCGTGAAGCTTCGTGATTATGTCACTAACACCACTTTACAACTCGGTCCCTCAATTCGCACTCCACATTCGGCTTCCTCAGGTATGCCTTACAGTTTGACAAAGTACTTAAATTGTGCTAAATTCTCCTTCCCCCACCGAACCTTTCTTGCAGCCCTTCATGCGAGAGCGAGAACCTGTGCATTTCTTTGAAGCCGTTCGGGATGTTAGATGGAGAGATGCCATGGCTAGTGAAATTCGAGGCCCTCCAAAGTAATGAAACATGGGACATTACTCCTCTACCGCAGGGAAGAAGCCTCCGGGTTGCAAGTGGATTTATAAAATCAAATATCATTACGATGGGAGCGTTGAACGCTTCAAAGCCCGATTAGTTGTCTTGGGAAATCACCAAGTTGAGGGGATTGACTATGACGAGACCTTTGCCCGAGTGGCAAAGATGGTCACCATTCGGACAGGTGTTGGCGGTGGCGGTAGCCAAAGGCTGGGAACTCCATCAAATGGATGTCCATAATGCTTTTCTCGCACGGCGATCTTGAGGAAGCTGTGTACATGAAAATGCCGCCAGGGTTCTTGGTGTCTCAAAAGGGTATGGTGTGTCGTCTCCGCAAGTCCCTTTATGGTCTTCGTCAAGCTCCTCGGTGTTGGTTTGCCAAGCTCTCAAGCTGCTCTTGTTCAATATGGATTTCAACGTTCTTCGTCCGATCACTCCTTGTTCATCTTTCGCAAAGGAGATGTCGAACTGGTTGTGTTAGTTTACGTGGATGACCTAGTCATTGCTGGCAATCATCATGAAGACATTGCGCAATTCAAAGATTATCTTCATCAATGTTTTCATATGAAGGACTTAGGGAAATTAAAATACTTTCTTGGGGTGGAGGTTGCCGGATCTCCTACGGGAATTTTCTTGTGTCAACGGAAGTATGCGTTGGACATCATAGCTGAAGCGAGGATTGCTTGGAGGGAAACTCGTGTCCACGCCAATCGAAGAAAATCATCGTTTAGCATTGGGCGATGGCGAACTACTTTCCGACCGAGTCAATATCGACGTCTCGTCGGTCGCCTTATTTACTTGTGTTTTACACGACTCGAATTATCTTACGGTGTTCATGTCCTATCTCAATTCATGCACCAACCGCGTCGAGGAGCATTGGCG